ATTGCTTTGGAAGGTGACTTGGCAGGGGAAGGAAGGGTATTTTTCCCCCACATTTTTCTTCTCTGTCTGGTCACAGCAGGTTGTTTGATAATTGTTTAAACTGGCTAGAGAGTAATTGTTTTTCTTTCGAATAAACCAAAACTGAAATGAAAGAAAACTGTATGAACTTAAAGCTGTGGGGTAGAAGGGAGAAGAGGGCAAGGCCATGTAAAATTACACTGTCTGAGAAAGTCACAGGGATTTAACTCCTTACAATCCCATTAGGCTTGTGCTGAAGAAGGCAAATCTGGTTTAAGTTGAAGGAGGGTCTCCAAAGCCTTGGCAATCACAGGGAGCCTGGAGCAACTCCTGCCTGGCTAATGCTTACAGAGGTCACTCAGTACTTGCTGGGGTGGCAGGTACCACTCCGTGCTGCCCTGCTTGTTCCCATGGCTGGTCCTTCCATCCTGTCCCGATCATAGTTATTCAGATGCAATAGAGCATTGCCCCAGAGCTGGAAACCTCCACCCCAATGATTTACAGTGCTGTCTGTCCTCTCCAGTGTGCCAGGGATGAGGGCCAACCCTCAGGGGCAGATAGTTTTGGGCTAACATGGTGGCCTGGGATGTGTCATAGTTGCTGCAAAGTGCCACACAGCTGCCCCCAAAGGGCACTTTTGTGGCCTGCTGCAAAGGGAGATGATGGGCAGAGCTCAAGTCTTACGGGAAAACATGGATAACCTGAAATGATATGCTGAGTCATGCCAGGTCATGAGATGCAAGGTTGGGTGAGCTCCGACAGGTTTGTGCAGGTACAAGGAGATTCACTGCAGTGTGTAGGGCTGTGTATTTCACACCAAGAGCCAGCTGGCCCCAAGAAAGGTGTTGGGTTGTGGAGTGGCAGGTTAATCCCTTGTGGGAGCTGAGATTGCATAAGTAATTTGGGAAGCTGAAAGCTGAACTCAGGTGGCATCAGTTGCGGCAAAGGAACCATAGTCAGCCCCTATTTCAGCAACAACACATTGGAGTGCTCATTTCATCCCTGGAAGTAAAACCTTTTCAAGCCTGGATAAGTTAACATCAGTCAATAAGTACTGGAGTGTTTGATTTCATGGCTGTTTGCTGTTTTACTTTAAATATTTTAAAATAAGTAGCTAGGAAGTTATTTATATTTTTTAGCATCCTAATTGCAGGAACACAATACTTTTGTACTGATGGAGTCATGATTTAGACTGTTAGTTAATTCTTTCTCAATATTAACATTACAAGCAAAACAAGAATCAAAGCAAAAATCAAAAGGGCTGAGTGAAGACTACTTACACTACTGTTTGCCATATGCTAGTCTTTGAATGGCCATCACCATCCTTATTATTATGCATCTTATGATTAATGATTAGCTGTTCAGTGTTCATCTTCAGGAATGCCCTGAACTTATTTTTCAGGCTTCCCTTCCACAATTGATATGTCCTGAGGAGTTAATTGCTATGAAATTCAGTTATAGGTGATGCATAGAAATTTCAGAAGATATGGAAATCAATTTTGAAATTCACAAGGGATACAGTTCAAAAATGTGGAGTGGGCAAACCAACACTCAGGGCTTTCTATTCTGGAGAGAGTACAGGCTTAAGACATCCTTGTTAGTATGCATGCTTCAGAAAAAAGAAATTGCAGAACACTTCTATTTTGATTCTTACATTTTCCTCTCTCACTCTCTATTTAGGGGGCTTCATCTGCCTGTATTAACTCTAGCAGTGTTAGGACAGGAAGGCTAGGTTAGCACAGCTGGCTGCCCTCTCAAGGCTCAAACTGAAGGTAAAACCCTTCTTAGATACCTGGATTTATTTTTGGTTCTCATGGCTCAGCATTTTTTGCTGATTTAACACAGATGAACACATAGGATCATAGAATTGTTTATGTTGGAAAAGACCTCTAAGATCATTAAGTCCAACTGTTAACCCAGCACTGCTAAGTCCCTAAACCATGTTCCTAAGCGCCACATCTACAAGTATTTTAAATACCTAAAGGGATGGGGACTCAACCATTTCCCCGGGCAGCCTGTTCCAATGCTTGACAACCTTTCAGTGAAGAAATTTTTCCTAATATCCAGTCTAAACCACTGGTGCAACTTGAGGCTATTTTCTCTTGTCCTTCACAAGTTGCCTGGGAGAAGGGACCAATACCCCCCACTCCTCCCCAGCTAAAACCTCCTTTCAGGTAGCTATAGAGAACAATAAGGTCTCCTCTGAGCCTCCTTTTCTCTAGGCTAAACAACTCCAGCTCCCTCAGCTGCTCCTCACAAGATTTGTGCTCCAGACCCTTCACCAGCTTTGTTGCCCTTCTCTGGACCTCCTTGGCCACCTGGGCACACTGCTGGCTCGTGTTCAGATGGCTGCTGACCATCAACCTTTTCCTGGACTGTTTTCCTGCCACTCTGTCCCCAGCCTGTAGCACTGCATGGGATTGTTGTGGCCAAAGTGCAGAATCCAGCACTTGGTCTTTTTGAACCTCATACCATTGGCCTTGGTCCATCAATTCAGCCTGTCCAGGTCCCTCCACAGAGCCTTCCTGCCATCCAGCAGATCAACACTCCCACCCAACTTGATGTCCTCTGCAAATTGAGTGAGGGTGCACTTGATCCTCTCATTGGTAGAGCTATTAAACTGGTACTGAGCCCTGGGGAACACCACTCATGACCGAACACCAGCTGGATTTAATTCCATTCACCATCACTTTCTGGGCCTGGCCACCCAGACAGGTTTTTACCCAGTGAAGAGTGCACCTGTCCAAGCCATGGGCTGTCAGCTTCTCCAGGAGAATGCTGGGGGAAGCAGTGTCAATGCTTTACTAAAGCCCAGGTAGAAAACACCCACAGCCTTTCCCCTATCCACTATGCAGGTCACCCTGTTACAGAAGGACATCATGCTGGTCAAGCAGGACCTGCCTTTCATAAACCCATGCTGGCTCAGCCTGATCCCCTGGTTGTCCTGTACGTACCATGTGATGACACTCAAGATGATGTACTCTGTGACCTTCCCCGGCACTGAGGTCAGACTGAAAGGCCTGTAGTTCCCCTCATGGTTCTTCTAGCCCTCCTTGTAGATGGGTGTCACATTTGCCAACCTCCAGTCAACTGGGACTTCTCAGGTTCACCAGGACTGTTGGTGAGTGACACAAAGCTGTTTGGTGAGGACTTCCATCAGCTCCCTCAGTACCCTTGAGTGCAGTCCATGGGCAGCTGCCATGCCGCACACAATCCCAAGTCCCTTCAGGGTCCCGTAGCAACTAATTGTTGTTTTGCAGTGGACTGTGCATTTTAGGATGCCCCACACCGAGGTCTTGATCCAGAGGAGGATTTAATGTCTATAGTTAGCTCAGCCCACAATTCCTGGGCCTAAATCCAGAGTTGTGAACCTCAAAATCCTGTGAAAGCTGCTCTTTAAATCTGGAGAAGGTTCAGACTTGGGGACATGGCATCAATGCACTTCACACTTAGAAATCAGAAGCGTCAAGAACCAGCGATCTGCAGCCCAGCCAAGCCCACCCTGCAGGGTTGGAGACCCTGGGTGATGGTTCATCTTGCTCCGCACAGCTTCTTGTCCCACTGAACATAGTCCTTGTCCTGTCATGATCAGGTCTGGGCAACCAGAAGTTTACCCTAATCTGCAGAGGGACAGCTTCAGACAGCAGCAAGGGGAGTGGGCTGAGGAAGCACCTTGTCCCCTCACATAAGGGGTGTAACTTAAAGCAAAACCCTGGACCTGCGCTTGCTAAAGGTCTCCCCACTCTGTGTTGAAGCTTCTCTGAGATCCCCTCTCCTTCCCCATTGGCAGTACCTGAACCACAGGCATGTGCCTCTGGGCAGAGGCTTGTCTTCTTGGACATATGTGAAAACCTTAGTCTGAAAAATGTCTTATTTGAACTAAAACCAGTGGCTCAAGTACATTACATAGCCACAATATATCTTTGTAAATATATGACCATAGTATAGAAGTATAGATTTGTGTTTGTTATTAGGTAGTATTAATATATATTTCATATATATATGCTCTACATATGTAAATATATATTTATACTATCTATATAAATTTCATTTATATAGACACATTATATATTAAGTATTTGTTTATAGTACATTTTGTATTTTATATACCTAATGTTGCTCTCTCCCTTCAGTTGTGAGTAGAGGGGCTTTGATGCTGGGAGAGGTTCATCTTTGAAGCACAGCGTGCAGAAAGGCGAAACACAACCCAGCTCCGATTGGTTTAATCCACCCTGAGTGATGCTCCAGATTCCTCCTGAAAACGTTGTTTTGAGGTTTCGATAGGAGGGATGCAGAGGTTTGTGGAAGACGAGGGGGCCAACTCTCTGCAGAGGGGACCTGTGGTTGTGCAGTGTCTTTCTGGCAGAAGGAGAGAGGTGAGTGATGGTGAGTGTGCATATCCATGGGGTGGCCCAGAAGCTGGATGTGCTCCCATGCTGGGAGGCACAGACATTCAAGGAAGAGGAGAAAGGGTGACAGAAGATGCCAAGGGAGATTGGAGCATGTGGAAGCAGATGTGCCAAGGGGAAAATGCTAAAGGTCTGGGGCTGCTTGGAGAGGACCAGGCTGCTCCCTCTGATATCTGGAAAGCCAGATTCCTTCTCAGTCAGGTCAATGCTCTCAAAGCAACAGAAAGATGTTGGTTTTGTTCTGAATCAGAACAGAGGGAGAAAAAAAATTAAAAACATGGAAATATTAGTGACAAGTCCCATTTTCTCGCAAAGGAGAAGGGGAATCACCTCAAAGCAATACTTTCCCAATGGGAAGCATGCAGTGGTGGTGTCTGTGCAAGGGGCAAGCTCTGCTCTTGGCAGCACATCCTTGCCCTGCTCAACTGCAGACCCCATATGGGGTCTGCCCCCAGGCAGAGCACAGCCAGGAACAGTCAAATCTGGTCCTGGAGAGCCCACCTGAGCTTTGCTACTATGAGCAGAGGGAAGCCATCTGTCTGGGACAGAGGAAGAGAAGCCACGGCTGGTGAGCCACGTGCGAGGTTCCCGTCTGTCATGCAGAAGCTTGTCTGTGCATAGCTGTTTAGGAGAGCTCTGCTGTGCTTGGAGGGAAAGAGCAATTATCTCCCCTGTCAGTGAGTTCTCAGGTTTATGTATATCCCCGTGCCTTCCCCTAAACAAGCTTTCAATAGAGAAAGTGCAAGGCTGCAGAGATTCTCTGCAATTAGGGGAGAAGACATCCCTCTTTCAGCTAACACGAGAAAAAGAGCTGAATGAAACCCTGCATTGTTAATGTGCTTTGGCTTAGTCAGTGGGGAGGGTAATAAACAAGGCAGACTTGGTTGGGATAAAAAAAGCGTCGAGTATGGCAAGATTATGAAACAATAGGTACTGATAGAGAGGCAGCATAGAGCCAGCCGCAGAGCAGAAGCTTTACTGAATGCCTGGGTTTGAATGAATCCTAATGATAATCACGGGCTACATGGCAATTTGTTTAAATAATGTGCCTCCTGCTTCCTCCCAGCCTGGCAGAATGAGTCCGTACATGTTAATTGCTTCATTTTGAGGAGAAAGCTCTTCTCTGTGTGGCAATATTATATATTTAATTTTTGCTGTTTATTTACTCTGCCCTTCTTCAAGCCTTTTTCTGTCTATGAAGGCATCTTCTGCTGTTGTTTTATATTTCAAACAAAGGTGTTTGCATCAAAGCTCTGAAGCAGTTACAGGGAACCTCTCAAGAAAAAATGGAAAGGACTGATTGCTACCCAAGATGGGTCACATTTCAGGAGGGAAAAGGAGTTGTTGAGCCAACCTACAGGTCACAGGTAAGAACCCCAGCACCACAAGTCCTCTGAACTTCGTGAAGGGTTGGGGCAGGCTGCAGCTTGACCTACTCAAGTGTCCTGCTCCTTTCAAAGCAAAAAAATGGTGTGAAGACTTGAAGCACACCCAGGAATGTATCACTTAAGATTAACGTCAACTGAGTTCACTGGGCATGCATGCTGGAGAGGCTGGCATGCTTATAGTTTATCAGAGAGCAACCACAATAATAATAATAATAATAATAATAATAATAATAATAATAATAATAATAAAACCCCCCACCATAGTAGTAGTAGTAGTAGTAGTAATAATAATAATAATAATAATAATAATAATAATAATAATAATATTTGACTGGCATTTTAGCAAGATTCCTCACTGATTATGTGCCATTTTGTTACTGAAGCAGAAGCAGACTCTGCCATGCAGCTGCACTCCCACAGTACTGGTAGGAGCAGAAGAAGAGGCAGTAGCACCTGGGCATCTGTAGCCAGACTTCTTGGTGCTGCTGCTAGACTTAAATCCTGGCTCTCCTCTTCTCTCCCTGCCCCTGTCCAGTTCCCCCCAAGAACTTTTCTTGAAGGGTGATTAAGCCATTATTGGTGCAAATTTTTGTTCTGTCTTTATGGACCAAAAAGGAGCGGGGAATTCAATCCTAGCTGCTTTTGCATACAGTAGTTTACAGGTGTGAATCAGCATCCGCTAAGTTGTGTTTCCTCTCATATGGCCTTTGTTCACATTAATTTGTCCATTGTCACCTGCAGACTGCTATATTAGCTCTTTTAATTTACAGAGGTTTTCAAGAAGGTTTTTTCGAGGTTCATCTAAAAATGTGGTTGTGAAGGTCACCCTGTCCCAAAACAGCGTATTCCCCAGAACACCTTCTACCAAAGCTTGCTGACTAAAATGCCACTACCACATTGTGGGATACTTACGGAGGGGTTACAATGATTAATAAATTCATTAGAATATACTGTAAAAATGGAGGAATGCCTCTTAGGAATGCAAATAGTGTTGTTAGTAGCTATTTTTGCAGGTCTTGCAACCTATCTGAAAGCAGCAGGATTGCTATTTGTTTCCTGCAATTAAAAAAAAGAAAATGAGGTTTTTTCTTCATTAACATCATCAAGGGTGTTAGAAATCGGATTTCAACAGTGACATATCCAAATGGCATGATGTATCTATACACAATAACATTTATGACTATTAAATATTATTTAGGATAATGCCTTTATGCCAAGTAGGCATGTTGCTGAAGCCCCACAAGGAGATGCAATAGAGTGGGGGGGTGGGAAGATTAGTGCCTGGGGAATGGATGAACCTGGGGGTCTTACATGGTTTGGCTTCTGCAGCCTCTTGTAGTAGTAAAGTGCTAGAGAAGAAGGAAGTCCCTGCTCGCTGCTGTCACTCATCATCCCCTTGTGAAACTGGCAGGAGGACTTGTTCTTCCAGCTAACTCCCAGGCTGGCCTCTGCACCACAGGAGAAAGGCTCGGTGTCATTGTACAGGTGACTGTTGGGTCCAGAAACTCCTTACCAAGATCAGCTCATTCCTAGGCAGTACTGAAGGTACTCCACAGAACTGGATCCTTGCTTATCTTGCACAGACCCAGTGTTCAGATTGTACTGAAAAACATTATAATCAGTTTTGGTTCCAAGTTTTAACAAGCTTTTAGCTACAACTAATCATAGAATCACAGAATATGCTGAGTTGGAAGGGATCCATCAGAGTCCAACTCGAGTCCAACTCCAGGCACCGCATAGGACACTCCAAGAGTCAAACCATGTGCCTGAGAGTGTTGTCCAAACACTTCTTGAACTCCATCAGGCTTGGTGCTGTGACCACTGCCCTGTGGAGCCTGTTCCAGTGCCCAACTACCCTCTCAGTGAAGAACCTTTTCCTGATATCCAACCTAAACCTCCCTTGACTCAGCTTCATGCTGAGTCCTGTCATGGGTCACAAGACTGAAGAGATCGGTGCCTGCCCCACCAATTCCCCTTGTGAGGTACTAGTAGACTGCAATGAGGTCTCCCCTCAGTCTCCTCTTCTCCAGGCTGAACAAAACAAGTGACCTCAGCTGCTCCTCATAAGGCCTCCAGGCCCTTTACCATCCTTGTAGCCCTCCTTTGGGTGCTCTCTAACAGCTTAATATTTTCTTATATTGTGGCGCCCCAAACTGCACACAATATTCCAGGTGAGGCCACACCAGTGCAGAGCAGAGCAGGACAATCCCCTCCCTCAACCAGCTGGCGATGCTGTGCCTGATGCCGCCAGGGACACGGTTGGCCCTCCTGGCTGCCAGGGCACTGCTGACTCATATTCAACTTGCCGACAACCAGGACCCCCACATCTCTTTCAGTGCCACTGCTTTCCAGCATCTCATTCTCCTGTCTGTACAAACATCCAGGGTTGCCCCATCCCAGATGCAATATCTGGCTCCTTTCCTTGTTGAATTTCATACGGTTGGTGATTGCCCAGTCCTCTGACTTGTCGAGGTCTCTCTGCAGGGCCTCCCTACCTTTGAGGGAGTCAACAGCTCCTCCCAGTTTTGTATCATCTTCAAATTTGCTCAATATCCCTTCTTGTCCTGCCTTCAAGCCATTTATGAAGATGTTGAAGAGCACAGGGTCTAAGATGTAGCCCTGTGGAATCCTACTAGTGACTGGTCACCAGTATGATGTTACCCCATTCACTGTTACTTTCTGTGCTTGATCTGTGAGCCAATTGCTCACCCACCACATGATGTGTTTATCCAGCTGTGTGCTGGACACAGAAGGATCCTGTGAGAGACGGTAGCAACAGTTCTGCTGAAGTCTGAAAGTAGTACATCAACTGGCTTTCCTAGATCAACTGAGTGGGTTACCTTGTCATAAAAGGAAATCAGGTTTGATAAGCAGGATTTCCCCCTCATGAAGCCATGCTGGCTGTGTCCAGTGACTGTATTGTCCTCCAGGTGTTTTCAATACCTCCCAAAATAATATTTTCCATTATTTCACTGGGCACTGAAGTGAGACTGACAGGCCTGTAGTTTCTGGGGTCCTTCTTGCCCTTTTGAAAATCAGGACAACACGTATCATCTTCCAGTCAGCTGGGACCTCTCCAGATTCCCAAGACCATTCAAAAATCAAGAGAGGCTTCGTGATGACAACAGCCAGCTCTTTGAGGAGTCTGGGATGAACGTCCTCAAAAGGATGCAATTGTACCTGTGTCTACATCTCTCTTTTTTGCATGTTTTTAGAATTGTTTCCACTTATGGCATAGAAAAAAATAGGTACTTATCAGTGAGGGAGAGATGGTTTTATGTGGCTTACAAGACAGATGGGTGCATTATGTGTCCTACCACAGTCACTCTGCGAGTCTGCAAGGCAGGCAACTTGCTCATGCTCTTTTACGAGAGGAAAGATGTGGCCATACAGCTAGGCTTCTTGGAACTGGAATTAAAAACCTTTTACTTTCTCAATAGATTGAAAAGCAAAATTACTTCAATTGTAGGACCTTGCTTCCTCAAAATGCATTAGAGAAGGAATTACCAAAAATAACAAAAGTCATGTCTGCCACAGATTGAAAGCCTAGAATTAGTCTGAAACACATGGCTCTGCAAAACCTTTCCCAGACTGTACTTCTGCTCCTCACAGAAACTCAGGCCCTGTCCAAACAAAAAAGTTGTTTCACTTTTATTCTTCCAGTACTGTGTAAACCCCATGCCTCTTTCTCTCCTTGCGAAGTGTGGAAGCAGATATTCCACCAAAAATTATTAGCAATGTAACTTATGTCCATGAAAATGGGGGAAATATATTATTATGCCAAAGTACCTGTACATGACACCCTGAATTACATCTCTGTGTGTGTTTCAGAGGAAATCTTGACCCACTTCCCAAACACTGTCTCCTTTCTCTTGAATTCTTGAATCTTCAATAGAAAAGCAATGTACAGACTGGACTTCAGTCTGATCATACTTTTTCCCCAGTGTGTTTCAGGCCAGCACAACTCCACATGAGGACAAGATCATGCAGCTGGAGAGAGCGACTGGGCACCGACCACCACAGTACAACATTCTAGTTGCAGAATGACTCCAGGCTCTAGGAGGAAGGAGTCCAAGCCACTGAGCAATTCACCAGTCAAGCTAACACCAGCAGCTGCAGATCCTTCTACGTCAATGCAACAGGGTTTGCACTGGTATAAATCATGTGCGTCGCTTTATTCAGAGACAGGAAAATAAGGAAGGAAGAGAAACAAAGGGCAGAAACAGAGATGTTTCTAAAAGGGAACTTATTTTCTTACAGAGCAATCTTGAAAGCAACAATAAGGCACTAACAATAAGGCACAGCTAAGCAGTTCACTGCTACACAAGGTCACAGTCTACCTTCCCCCACAACTGCCTGCAGTGGGAGGCTCATTGTGGAGCAACGGATGCAGAGCTGAATTGACAGCCAAACATGGGGGATCTGGCTGTTGCCCCGGGATGGATCTGACATCCCTGGCTCTTAGGGTGAAGACAAGGCATGAGGGAGCAGAAATATGATTGCCATTCTGAAGGGGAGAAGGAATAGCAGCAGTGTTAGGGCTATCTGCATGACAGGGCAGCTTTATCAGCACCGGAATAGCAGTGTGCTCTCCTGCAAAGCACGTCTAGCGAGGACAGAGCTATTTCAGTAAAGCTGGAATTTTTTTTTTTAGCAGTGTAACACCCTCCTGAATGCAGTGAGCAGTGATGCAGCTACAAGCAACATTTTTGACAGTTTAACACTCACTAGCCCAGAAGCTCCTTCCCACTTGCACAGCTGTGTTAGCAGGGAATATCTGCCCTTCCCTCTCCTCACAGACAGACCTGGCCTGGTTCACCTGATTCAGAGTTTCTGTGTGACCCGTGACAAAATATTTAGGGTAGAGCTGTACAAGAGCCCTGATGGAGTGGGAGAGGTGTGCTTTTCCACCAGTTACAGCCACTGCCTCTTTCTTTCCCACCCCACTGTGACAGCAGCAGCAGCAAATGAAGTAAACCCAGCAAATGCAGAGGATTTTGGTTTTACCCTCACTGGTTTGGTCCAGCTCTGGCTCCTTTCCCTGGGGCCCCAACTGTTGAGAAGTGTCCAGCAAGCTCTGTTTTTTTCCTTATTCCAACCAGCATGGCTCTGCAAGGAAAACCTCAAGCAATATGTGAAGAAAAGCTTAAAAGGCCATCTGTCACTACTGCTCACTCTGTCTGAGGAAATAATTCAAGCAGCATCAGCAGAGATCTTGTGCTGTGTGACATGCATCCCCCACAGGGGCTTTAGCTGACAGGATTATGTTGACTATCGCTTTTCAAGTAGAGACTAAGTTTCCCAGAATTTGGAATTGTCAGCCTGCAACAAAAAAATGGCTGGTGCATCACTTGTTTTAATACTAGTGGGAAAATGGGCATTTAGGGCAGATGAAAAAAAGATCATGAATTGGGTGAGAAGTGAAGAAACAGGCTATAAGCAGTCCAATCCTCTCCTCAACAAATCTGTGGGAAAATACAGACTCTTAAATAATTAGATGGCCCTCCCTTTACTGTAACTTCTGAAGGTGTGTTCACACTCCCTACTCAGGGAGCTTAATTTAGGAGTTATAACTACTACATTCAAATAAGTCATGAGTGATTCATACTGCTCAGACTTGATTCCTCAGACAATGGAGAGATGGAGTTGTGACAGGCACAGGGTACAAGCAGTCTGAGCATGGTCTCGGCTGCCTCACATTCCTTCGATGCGTTCTCCTGACATCACTTCATAGTGGGAAACGCTATTTCCATCCTACACACAGGAAAAGATGACTTTGTCTGGAACAAGCTACCAAGCTACCAACTTGCATGATGCCTCTTTCACCGGCTTATCTCGATTTTGCCAGTGTTTACTTTGGCCAGGAGTAGCACTTTTTCCACACAAAATCCTCACTGAACTACTGCAGTCATTATTCACTTGTGAAAAGGTCATAAGTCCTCTTATACTGAGTACAGATATTTTAAGGCAAAAGGGAATTTAGATTTCTCAACAATGGGGATTTTAACATGTACTGCTTGCCAATATAATGAGCACATCCAAGAAAAATGACCCAAATCTTCATGTTTCCTGAAGCTAGGAAGTGTCTTATCTGCTAAACACGCCAGAGTTTTCCATGGATGTGACTTGGCTTCTATTTTTGCTCTCTTTATATTATTTTGAATTAAATTTCAGGCACAATGCAACCTAAATACATATACACAAAGATATAAACCTTTTCTTGACATGTTCTGGAATTAAGGAATAGTGATCTTAGTTTTATTTATGCACTTCATACTGAATTTCTGGCATTTTAGCAATGACTCTCCACAAGAACGTTCTTCAATCTCATTTAATCCCCAGCCCACCTCTCTGACTGCAGCAAAGGAAATTCCAGTGTCTAAGAAATTATTCCTCTTCCCAGGAAGTGTCAGTTGTTTGGACTATGTGGAGGGATAAAGAGCTCTCCTGCTGACTCATCTTGGCAGCCAGGTCAGGTGAGCTTTCTTAGGACCAACACAGGGCTAGAAAAAGAGCTTGGAAAAGCTAAAACATCCAGGTGGGGAAACTAAAAAGAAGTAAAATAAATAAAGGGCTCTTACACAAGCCAGATGAGGTAGGAATTCATCCTTCCAAGTCTTGGTTCTCACAAATATTCAACACATAAAAATTCAACATTCAAGCCACCAAGATTTGCCTCAACAGAGAGCTTACATGAAGGACTCAAGGAAAGCAAAGGTCTGACACAGTATATCTGAGAGCTGTCCCTAATCCTTTGCATTTTTTTCTAGACATCTGTATCAGTGAGGAGCTGGAACGTGTCCAAAGAAGGGCAGGCAACAAAGCTAGTGAAGGGTCTAGAGCACAAGGCTTATGAGGAGCATCTAAGGGAGCTGGGGTTGTTTAACCTTGAGAAAAGTAGGCTCATGGGAGACCTTACAATTCTCTTGGAACTACCTGAAAGGAAGTTGTAGCCAGGAGGGGGTTGGCTTCTTCTAGGTAACAAGTCATAGGACAAGAGGAAATGGCCCCCAGTTGGGCCAGGGAAGGTATAGATTGGGTATTAAGAAAAATTTCTTCACTGAAAAGCATTTGAACAGGCTGCCCAGTGAAGTGACTGAATTCCCATGCCTGGAGGTATTTAAAAGGTGTGTAGATGTGGCACTTAGGGGCATGGTTTAGAGGTGGACTTGGCAATGCTGGCTAAAGATTAGACTTGAGGATCTTAGAGTTCTTTTCCAATCTAAGTAATTCTATAATTCTATGACATCCAAGATGTCTATAACCTGAGAAGTATTTTATTGAGGAACCAGGCAAGGGAAGGAACTGTGGAAAGAAGTGAAGAGGCACTTAAATTTATTCCAAATCTTCTGTCACAGGCTTCCTGCAAATACCTTAGTGGCATAGTTTTGGAAACATTTATGCGAGCAGTTCCTCACTAAGCAAGAGGTAATAGTTAATCCCATTTCCAGAAGCAACAGTGGCTCTGAATACCTTAGGTATCCTGGGGGGCTGGATCCTTGAGCCTTAAACCTGGATTCAGAGAGACAGGTAAGAAAAAATATTTTGATGATTCACTTGTGGATCTTTGTGAAATCTTATCTCAGCCATGATCTTGACTGGTTGTCAGTATGCAAAGCAGCATCAACAGAAACTGATAACAAAGATGAGTGAGTATACAACAATAATCTAAGAACTCAGACAAAGTTAAGAAATTCCCATCAATTACTAGAATCTGGTTCCTCCTTTTGTTTTTGCACACAGCTGAATGCATGGCAGTGCACTCCCAAGAAAGCCCACAGAAAGGAAAAGCAGTGTGAATACTCATGGAAGTCTGTATTCTCATGAACATTTGCACCTGAATAGCATGTCCTGCCATCTCTGAATGCTCTTTGCAGCCTGGGATTAGAACTGCCGCTGAATAGCATTTAAGGGATCCAATGCACATCATGAAGTTTCTCTTTGCTGAGCATCTATGGTACTGTATTCTGATTCTTTTGTGGAAGAGCACCTTTTCAGGCAACTCTTGACAGGTGTTTCTAGCCTTCCAGTATCTAATTAGGATTTTAATCTTGCTGGAATAGTACCACCTGATTTCATCTATCCCTGATGCACCATAAACAGTTCCAGTAATATAAAATAACAACTCTACTGATCTATATGCAACCGGTATTATGTGCCCTGTTACTTCTATCAATTTTTGGATGTGAAAATGAAGTCTGGTTTAGACTTCATATCTTGCTGCCACAGTATAATGTCAAAGGGACTCAGAAAACATACATAATTAGTCAATACAAAGTTTTTCAATCAAGGATACAGGGTCAAAACTGTAACATCCAAAGACTAAGAAAACATTTAGGTACAATTAGTGGAAATACCTCAACCATTTCACTGGGAAGTATGATTCATTCTATTAAAATGAATTTGCTACTAGTAAATATATTGCAAAATTTTAACTGAAAATTACATTCTAATGCAATTTTTCGAAATGAGTATTGCATCTCATTTCTTTGGGCAAAGTTGGGACTGGGAACACATCTGGGAAAACATCTGGATTTATTGCAAGATGCTGAAGTGAAGTGCTGAGACACAGGTTAACTCACATTCTATTTCTGTGGCCAATGGATTTAACCGTACTCTTGCTTCTCTTATGAACTATCACCACAAAACTTACTTTCATTTCACTCTTTCCATTTTTTGTCCTGGTTCTGGCCAGGACAGAGTTAATTTTTTACAGTAGCTGTGAGGGGGCAGAGCCTGAAGCTGTGTGGGCATGGCTAATAGGTTATTCTATACCACCTCAGTTCATTGCCAGGGATGGGAGTAAGAGATTTTCTCAATTCTGCAAAGAAGGGTATTCCTTCTGGTGGGGAGAAAATGTGGTGGGGAAGAGCCAATCCCAATTGGTATTGTTGCAGACTTTCTGTGTAAATTATTTTTTTGTGTTATATCTTTTGTCTTATACATTTTGTTACTAATATTGTTGCTGTTATCATTCATTTTCTTATCTCATTGCTGTTTCCAGTAAATTGTTCTTATCTGAATCTGCAAGCTTTGCCTTTTGTGCTTCCAATTGGAGGAGGAGAGGGAAGCGAGCAGCGCTGTGGTTTTAGTGGGACTACTAAATTTCTAAACCATGACATTTTAATAAATAGATTATAATAGTCTTTTATTTTCCCCTCCCTTATTTTGTAGTTTCCCTGTGTCACTTATAAAACAAGTCTTCTGATTTTTAAAGAAGAGATGTAGTTACATTGCACAGTATTACAAATGCATCTTAACTCAGTTTAAGATGAGAAATGAGCAACTTTGAGTTATAAAAGCAGGTTCTTTCCATATTTTTGGTGAATGTAGCAGCTATTTTGAGTATTTTATATTTACCAAAATGTTTTCCATTTCAAACACCAGCTTTGATGAAGACAGCCTTCGCTCTATTTGAAATCAAGTCTGCATTAAGCTCAAGGTGTCAGCTTTTACTGTTAAATATTCTTAATCACAGCAGTCTTCAAAAAAAGTTGTTTGCTGGATGCAATTAGATAAAGTGATAAGAATTCTTTTAAATACTTCCTCCTTTCCCCATGAACATGAGAAATATAATTCCATAAGAAGCACTTTCATCTCAGCAGTCTTTCATGGCAAAGAACCTCTGTTGAAGGCATTATTGAAAGATATCGAAAGGAAAAAGGACGCAGGCCTTCCCTTTCCTTTTAACCTTCCCTTTCCTTTTATTTATATGTATATATATGTATAATCAAGTTTCAAGAGCTGACAAACTTCATTACAGAAACATTATCATATGTGTCAACTAGCATAGCAATGCCACCTATGTCAC